TCCAGGCAGGATTTAACAGCAGATCTCACAGCCTTTTTTTGTCATAGACTGAACAATTTTCCTGACAAAGTACACTGTTCATTTTTCATTGGGCTGTGTGAGTGTATTTGCCTTATCTGACTGTTCCATACTGCTGCCAGTCACGCAACATACTCATAATACAGAATCTGCCTCATTCTTCATTGCTTCCAGGTCCACTTTGTTCTGATTTACCGAGTGTAGTGTCCATTATCTCCCACTGCTTAACCAAGTCAAAGAAGGTTTGCAGCCATCTCCTGATCAGCATCTCACTTGCAGCCTTAGTACTCACTATAGCTTTGCCTGTCAGCGTATTTGCGAGCCATTGATGCACACACAGTGAATTCGTTTTTAAGTCTACAGTCTTAATGTCTCAGTGTATAGCCAAGTTTACCCACTTTATAATCGCATCTAGCTTCGGAATGTTGATGTGTTGCATGTCGGATTCTGGCTGCAACCAACATGTCTTCAATAACAGATTCAAGCAAGACTCCAATTACCAAAGAACTTACGTTAACTCACATATCAACATGGAGGTTTAGTTTCTTGTTGTCTATTACAAGACGCACTTTTGACATGTTTTGCTACATGACAGTCTCTTTGGGAGGTTCAAGCTTCTGCTCGTCATATGGAATAAGCCATCTCTTCTCAATCTACTGTTACAACTCCCTCTTGTACGATCCGCTGACCTTCGTCGGCAGAGAAGATTCTGCTATGTGGTTTTGTTACTTGCCTGGCATTTTGTTTTCTTTTCATTTTCCTGGACACAGTCCATTCATTCCACTTATGATTAAATTCCGCTCCGAAATCAAGTCCTTCAATCGAGAGGACTGGCCCTGTAACGCACACAGAAATTGACTTGTGTGAATTGAACCTCCCCTGACGTCAAACGAGTTCTGCCTTTTCCATTCATTCGACCACGTTTGTCCCGGATGCTGATCTACCTTGATATAAGATGGATATCAAAAATTTCCCTCCGACATAGTTTGCAATATCGCCGAAACAGCTTGTATGTGGCCGAGTTATCGAAATTAGCACCAGCGGCGTCCTTTTAAGTCACTCCCCGGTGTTAACTAAGGCTGTCTTTTTATGGCGTCTAGCGAGATCGCTACACATTTTTCCGGTCACGTGAGACATCACCCATTCCGAACAGATTGAGTCTCCCGTGCACAACACAGGCGATCTCATGTCGCTTAAGCCGGGAGCCGGTAAGCTGTGGCCACTACTGATGCTCTGAAGGTAAAAGGACCCCGAAAACCCTCCGCAGGTGTTCACCTCCGCCCAAAGGACCGGCTTCTAGGTTAGTTTTAAATATATCGACTTCATGTAGGAAAGGTAAAAGTTATGGTGATAAAATATAGTATTACAAGTTTAAGACCATATCTAAAATTCCTAAACATTATCTGTCTATATTTCTGAGATGAGGTATTATGTACACTATTTACATTGTTCGGACTATCATCCTCATCTTTGTTGGCATATTTATCACAACGTTTCGGTCGTTGTACACTCCGGGCTACTTCAGGTGGTTGGAATGTCAAACTGAACCCTTTATTTCGCTCGCTGGGGTAGACTGTTCTAGTTCCACGTGCCATGTCTAATTGATATCGGTTATCTCCTTTTAATTGAATACATGGTTAAGGCGGTGGAGAACTTGATGAGGCGAATTAACAGGAGATAACTGATAACTGACATCCATTAGACATGGCACGTGGAACTAGAACAGTCTACCCCAGCGAGCGAAATAAAGGCTTCAGTTCGACATAGCAACCACCTGAAGTAGCCCGGAGCGTACAACGGTCGAAACGTTTTGATAAATATGGCAACAAAGATGTGGATGATAGTCCGAACAATGTAAAAAGTCCTAAACAGTAAGAAATGCCCAACAAGACGTTTCCGTAGTGAATTACACAATCGTCATTTTGAATAACTTAATGAATTCGCTTTGGCATTGTTGATACGTTTCTGTGACAATGTAATCATCTTGGGAAACACTTTTATTAAGACGTGAGGCGGTAGGGTTAAAAGCATATCTAAGGTGAGAGTGGAAAAGGTAAGAAAGAAGGTGATGTTAAATTGAATATAATATAATTTTGGAAAGAAGCGATGATCATCCTCGAAAATAGTAAATGTTAAAATTCCTGCTTGGAACTGTAAGGATTTGAAACAGAATCCTAAATAAAGGGGTCGTAAAGGGTGATACCAGAATTCACATGCGATTGAGTTATATCACGTGGTGCTAGATTGAAATTCGAACAGAAGCATTTTAGTTTATTTTCACTGACCTAAATTATACCATTCTTCAATCTGCTCATATTCATACGTAATTCTGGAGACAAAACAAGGGATTTATCTGTCCTTGGATATCTGTCATCACCTCTAATTGCACAGTTCACACAAGAGTATACTCTTATAAATACAAGTCGTAGGGAGTCAGTTAAGTTCTATTCCTACTCCTGTTGCTAGCTGTGTCAATTAACTCGTCACATCAAGCACACCTTTAAAAGCAATTTCGCATCCACGAATTTCCTACCAGCAGACGACTGATTAGAAGAAAGGCAAGTGCCAACACCATTTTCTTTACCATCTAATACCTACCGCCCGCGTAGAAATAACTTCATTTCACCAAACAATTTTTGTTTGTTCTAAATAAATCTTTATTATTGAAGATAATTCTGCTTGTCGAATCGTCTATTCCCACGAAGGCATTATTCACCCAGTATCTGGACAAAAAGGACACCACGGCTCGGCAAGAACGGGAGAAAGTAAATAATCTTTCTTTCATTCTATCAAAACACTAGATGATACAAGCAAGTTGAATAGTAACATAGCCCATGGGAACAAACCCAGTATGGGTGGATGTTCATATTTGATGCTGACCAAGATAATATACCGAGTGCATGTTCATACGTCTGAAGAAGGCTGTCTGGAATGTTATTCCAAAATGATGAAGATCAGGCACTGTTTGGAATTGACGTCCATTTCTATAGACTTCCCTTGTCAGCCACCCCAAACATTTTCAATGGATTTCAGATCAGGCAAACACGCTGGATGCTTCAGAAAATCATGTTATTCGCCGTAAAAAAAATCCTTTGTCCTGTGGACATTAAAGACCCAGTCATTTTCACATAAGAGAGAGCCATCAGGATGCTCTCTCCAACACACTAACGTAACCAACTGCAATTTGACGTCCCTGTATGATCTGAAGCTCCATTGTTCCTTGGAAAGAGTTAGCAGCCAGATGATGATGTCTTCTTCTCCATTGTAGAAAATGTCTTCAATAAGAAAATGTCTTCTCCATTGTAGAAAATGTCTTCTCCATTGTAGAAAATGTCTTCAATAAGATATCCATATCATGTCAGTAAAGTTGGAAACCATCTAGACTATCCAGATTAATTTTTTTCTCGTCAGAGAACAAAACCTTCCACTTTTCTATGTCCATTGTTTAGCGCTTGTCAGTAAAGTTTAACCGAGCTGTTTTGTGGTGTGAAAGGAGGCGTAAACTTTGAAGACGTTTTCGGTTTTTAATGTCTTTCTTTCGGAGGTGCCGGCTTATTGTTCTTGAACTGCATTCTGCGTCCGTAAGGGCCTTAATCTGGTTTGATGATCAGCTGGTGTTTCGCCGGACAACATGTTGGATCTTCCTCAACGCCAACATAATTGTCTTGGGCTGACCACTTGAAATTCTCGTTCCGTATCTCTTCTCAGTTTTACTGCCTCCAATCTCACCAGCGATGGAACTTTGAGAGAAAACTTGCTTTCGCAACTTGAAGATTCTGCCACGTTCAAACTCTTTTAGCTTTTTCTATTTTAGCTTTTAGCCTAATGTAACGCAGCAGATGCCAATGCAAGATGTTGATTGCGAAAATTCTTAAACACAAATGACTAAATTTCGCTGCGTGATTACCAATTAAAGTTTCATTTAAATATGGTCTTAAACTTTTGATCTACTAATACTTATCTGTCTATATTTCTGAGATGAGGTATTATGTACACTATTTACATTATTCGGGCTATTGTCTTCATCTTTGTCGCCATATTTATTACAACGTTTTGGCCGTTGTACGGTCCGGCCTTCTTCAGGTGGTTGGAATGTCGAACTGAACCCTTTATTTCCCTCGCCGGGGTAGACTGTTCTAGTTCCACGTGCCATGTTTTTAATGGATGTCAGTTGTTAATTATCTCCTGTTAATTCCCCTCCCCAAGTTCTGCACTGCCTTAACCGGGTATTGAACTCACACACTTTGGGTCCTGTCACTGGATCTAACTAACGCCATTATTCACTGTACCATGTGTCCTTGAGGCACATGGAACTAGAACTAGAACCCCAATGAGCGAAATAAAGGGTTCAGTTCGACATTCCAAACACCCGAAGAAGGCTGGAGCGTACAACAGCCGAAACGTTGCAATAAATATGGCGACAAAGATGAGGACAATAGTCCAAATAATGTAAAAAATGTACTAATATTTAGTCCAATTTCCCAGTACTCAAATTTTCCATATGAAATGCTAAAAAGTTTTTAATTTTTATTTTTTCTCTCATTTTTATTTATTTATTTTCATTTTCCGAAGTTCTACTCAAATAAGTTGTTGAGTCCAACAACGCAACAGGTATATTTTTCTCTATTTTCTTGAGCTTAAAATTTTGACCGCTCGCTGGGCAGCGCCGCGTTTTCGTTGTCGTATGCATAGCCGCCGCGGTAATTATCGATTGCGTAAAAACGTTCACGAAATCAAGGTCGAAAATCGAATTGAACCTGTCGATTATTGTTTGCTGATCGTTTGCTCACAGTGTCGGTTGCCGATTCTATGAAAGTATTGAAAAAAGCAAAGGTTGTTACACGAAATAGATTCGACTGCAGGACAACTCTCTCCACGGGATTCATCGCTCTTTATGCGCGCATGCCTTCCTCAGAGAGCATGTGGTGGTAGCGACCGTTGGACGCGTGGCCGCGGTAAGCGTTCAAAGTGAACGCTCTAAGTCTTCGACTGCAGGACGACTCTCTCCACGGGATTCATCGCTCTTTATGCGCGCATGCCTTCCTCAGAGAGCATGTGGTGGTAGCGACCGTTGGACGCGTGGCCACGGTAAGCGTTCAAAGTGAACGCTCTAAGTCTTCGACTGCAGGACGACTCTCTCCACGGGATTCAACGCTCTGTATGCGCGACTGCCTTCCTCAGCGAGCGTGTGGTGGTAGCGGCCGTCAGACGGGTAGCTGCGGTGAGCGGTCAAAGTGAACGTTCTAAGTCTTCGACTGCAGGACAACTCTCTCCACGGGATTCATCGCTCTTTATGCGCGCATGCCTTCCTCAGAGAGCATGTGGTGGTAGCGACCGTTGGACGCGTGGCCACGGTAAGCGTTCAAAGTGAACGCTCTAAGTCTTCGACTGCAGGACGACTCTCTCCACGGGATTCAACGCTCTGTATGCGCGACTGCCTTCCACAGCGAGCATGTGGTGGTAGCGACCGTTGGACGCGTGGCCGCGGTAAGCGTTCAAAGTGAACGCTCTAAGTCTTCGACTGCAGGACGACTCTCTCCACGGGATTCATCGCTCTTTATGCGCGCATGCCTTCCTCAGAGAGCATGTGGTGGTAGCGACCGTTGGACGCGTGGCCACGGTAAGCGTTCAAAGTGAACGCTCTAAGTCTTCGACTGCAGGACGACTCTCTCCACGGGATTTAACGCTCTGTATGCGCGACTGCCTTCCTCAGAGAGCATGTGGTGGTAGCGACCGTTGGACGCGTGGCCGCGGTAAGCGTTCAAAGTGAACGCTCTAAGTCTTCGACTGCAGGACGACTCTCTCCACGGGATTCAACGCTCTGTATGCGCGACTGCCTTCCTCAGCGAGCGTGTGATGGTAGCGACCGTCAGACGGGTAGCTGCGGTGAGCGGTCAAGGTGAACGTTCTAGGTCTTCGACTGCAGGACAACTCTCTCCACGGGATTCATCGGTCTTTATGAGCGCATGCCTTCCTCAGAGAGCATGTGGTGGTAGCGACCGTTGGACGCGTGGCCACGGTAAGCGTTCAAAGTGAACGCTCTAAGTCTTCGACTGCAGGACGACTCTCTCCACGGGATTCAACGCTCTGTATGCACGCATGCCTTCCTCAGCGAGCGTGTGGTGGTAGCGGCCGTCAGACGGGTAGCTGCGGTGAGCGGTCAAAGTGAACGTTCTAAGTCTTCGACTGCAGGACGACTCTCTCCACGGGATTCAGCGCTTTTTATCCGTGCCTGCCTTCCTCAGCGAGCGTGTGGTGGTAGCGGCCGTTGGACGCGTAGCCGCGGTGAGCGGTCAAAGTGAACGCTCTAAGTCTTCGACTCCGATTATTGTCTGGGAATAGTTTACAACGTTTTGCGCACAGTTTTGCTTGTCGATTGTATGAAAATATTGAAAAAAAAAAAAAGCAAAGGTTGTTACACGAATCGGATTCACCGCTAATAGGGAGGGCGTTGTTTCGAACTGCAGGATATCGTTCGCCCGCTATTAACGCTCCTCGTACGCGCAACCGTGGGTAGGTAGGCAAACCGTGTTCGACTCTTTCCGCGCGATTCAACGCTCCTCGTCGCTGCGGCCGTCGCACTTGTAGCCACAGTAAGCGGTCAACATGAACTCTATCTATCTATCTATCTATCTATCTATCTATCTATCTATATCTATCTATCAACTTTTCAGCTGTATGCCGATACATGAAACCTACAAGGAATTTCGAACTGAACCCTTCATTTAATCTACGGGGGTAGACTGTTTTCGTTCCACTTGTGACACTGGGGGTTAACCAAATAAAGGAAAGAAAGAAAAAAAGAGGAAAGAGACTTCTAACTGGGTGGTAATTGTTGAAATTCGCCAGGAAGTAGATTAAAAAGTTCTGAAGAAAATTAAAAACGAAATGCGTTGAAAAATTATGTTTCAAAATATCCGCCCTTCCTCATTTCCTGACGATAAGAAAGAGACAACGTATCCTCGGCGCTGGAAAAACACGTTGTCGATTAAAAAAAAAAAAAAAAAAAAACACGGGTGGTCACCGAAATACCATCTAAAATTGTTCCTGGACAAAAAAGCAAGGAAAAACATCTGGTTTGAATCAGCCACCCAGAGGGAAAATATCCCTACAAAAATAGAGATTAGCGCCTAAGATTTGGGACGGATTCGTTCATTTTAATTTCTGTAATATTCGTCAAAATTTTTATGGACGACATTATTTCGGATTCCTTTGGATACAAATGATTAAAGAAAAATTAATTACTATCCGTGGAGTGACCATAGGCGACCCGATGTGTAGCCTGGTCGATCTTGAAATCACCTAAAAACAATCAGCGTGAGACAAGATGATAAAGAAAGATTAATGACTGGAAATTCCCTTTTCGCCTACGCATACTAAAAGTTTACATTCGGTACAAAGACAGTGTACCAGCTCTTGGAGTGGATTGCGGTTGAATGCTGAGAAAGTGGGAGAATGAAAAGAGAGATTAGCACCGCCTGTATGGAGTGAGATGGAACGTGAAGTAAAAAGGGGCGTCTTGATTCTTATCACCACTCTCAAAAGGAAACTGGACTATCCCTAAATATGGAAAATAACTCCAGTAAACATATTTTGAAAATATTTTAGAAAAAAGTTGATGCTTATGGTGGAAGACAAATGCACCCAGAGCCTCGTCAGCCATACACCTGCCGGACGCAGGACTCCATATAAGCTGGAGGTTTGAGCAAAGTGAAGAGTTACTGCTAATGTAATCCACAGATCAGGACCACTAACATTGCAGATATTTTTTTTTGATTTTACGAAGAATCTCTAAATATATAGCAGGAGTATCAGACCAGACGTAGATTTTGTAGCGTTGTAAGTTCGACAAGCATTTGGTTGGTTAGCTTGTTTCTTGGGTGATCGCTATGGCGTTGTGTAGAGGAATAAGCGGGATCAGAATGTTACCTTGTTGTCGATGAATCACAGACGACGAAAACAGTATGAATGATTCTGGTTTATTTATGATTTTCTACAGAGAGACGGAACTGTTGCTACGAGATTCTGATAATTGGGGGGGGGGGAGCGAAAAGCGTCAAATCGTGTCCTTCCTTGTAGTATTCACCGGAGTGGGCTGACTAGTTAGCAAAACGATTCTTCTTTCATAGAATTTGAATGCCTTTTTCTTGTCAGCTTGATTATGTAAAATTATTCTCAGATCTCTGTCCACATTCATCTTAGACTAAAATATAAGCAAGCCGACTTACACACACCATTAAACGCTACAGAAACACATACGAATAACTGCCCCCCACCCATGGTATACTGAGAGTGGGGTAGCATGAGATTCTCACTAGGATGGACGAAACGGAAACGAACCAAGACATGGATTTACGGATAACGAGATTTACCGATTTACAGATGAGATTTACGGATAACGAGATTTACGGATAACGAGATTGACATGTCCATATGGAAAGATGTGCGAGAACATGCGCGGTCTAAAAATCCATCAGGTGAAGTGTCAGGTGCAATCGAACGAACAGAAACGCGCAGCGGTTTCTTCTGGTGAGACGCAGGAGGTGCAGGGCTGGGAAGCACTCCACAGTGTCCAGTCTCTCTAAGCAGAGGTTCAAGAGGAGCCTGATACTCCATTTAGAAGGAAGATTAAATAGTCCCCAGCCAGTGACAAACACGCTTGGCACGTATTCGACGTGAACATCGGCGAGATCCTTGAAACAACATCGAGAGGTTCGGTGTATAAACGTCTAATGACAATGTCCAAAATTATCACTAGTTACGCAGCAGGAAAATTCGGGTATGAGGAGCGGAAGGAAAAAAAATTGTATTAGCAAAGAAAATAGGAGGGAATTAAAAATTAAACAATTTAGGTTGGAGTTAGAATCTCTTCGAAAACAGTGTGAAAATAGGTAAACCTGAAGAAAGACAAATTTTACGGGTGCTCAGAGACGTAATTCGTTCAAAAAATGAAGTCTTTACGCAGAGCAGAATGGCATAGACGACGGAGGAAGAAAAGGGCGAAAAAACGGATGGCCTTCATCTCAAATCCGTTCAACTTTACAAACAAGCTGTTAGGGGAAAATCGAAGTTGTCACCTGGAGAGTACCCCTAGTGAAATTAATGCTTTCCTACTAGAAACTCTGAGTGATCCAAACAGATAACTGCAACTTGTATAAAATACTTCTTTGATAAAACCTAATGTACCATCACCGCCTTTTGACTTGAGAGAACCAACTTGGATTGAAATCAATACAGTCATGAAAGCAGCCGGAGTGCCTTATATCGTTTATAAACGCTGCCCGAAACTTCGTCGCATATTATGGAAGTTATTGAAAGTAATTTAGAGGAGAGGGAAAATAACAATAATGGGGGCACTCCGAAGGTATTTGGATCCCTAAAGTAGAAGGAGCCAGAAGCAGAAACTAATTCAGATGCATCTCTCTGTTGAACACTGAGGGCAAGATATATTTTAGCATCTTAAACCGACGCTTGTCATTCTTAAAAATGAGTACATCAATAACACTGTACAAAAAAAGAGGGATACCAGAATGTATGGAAGATGGCTTGCAGTTGTTAAAAGAAGCAAAGGCAAATAATGGCGACATAGCAAGCTTGTGGCTGGATCTTAAAAACGCCTATAGATCAATCCCACATGAACTAGTGGAAGAAGCTCTTCAACGCTATCATGTCCCTAATAAAATCACCGAAGTAATTTCTGATTATTAAAACAAATTCCAATTGAGAAAATACTGCATCGCCATGACATAAATTGAAGATGAGCATCATAACGGGATGAACAATTTCAGCGACCCTTTTTTGCTTAGTCATGAATATATTAATGGATGGCATGAGGATAATCACTACTTTTGCTATTGGTGCGAGATGGCTGCTAAAAGGAGATCGAAAAACATATCACCTGGGCTCGAATAAGTTTTAACCCCTCGAAATCAGGGTCACTCGTTTTAAGAAAAAAGACAAAGAGTCGTTTAGACTTTCCATGGAAAACATACCAACAATTAAGTAAAAGCTGTCTATATTTCTGAGATGAGGTATTATGTACATTATTTACATTATTCGAACTGTATCGAAGGTCTTATTGAGTTCACATTGTCTAGCAGAACCTGAACATCTTCCTGGTATAGCCAGAGTATGAAGGTGTCATCTATGTACCTTAACCATAGAGTTGGCTCTAGAGATATAGATTCTAATGCCATTTCCTCAACGTATTCCATGTATATACTCAGAAAACAGTCTGCCTGCCTTATGTAAAGGGGTTATCAGAGAAAATACAAAGGATCTGCGGTCCATATAACATCAGGACAACCTTCAAAAGCTGGATGACACTTCGTAGATATCTCTTCCGAGTAAGACCCCTCCCCATAGAGGAGAACATGGTTAAAGACTGTGTGTACGCTATCACGTGCAGCTGCGGAAAGAAATATAAAAGGGAGACAGGCCGCCCTCTTAAGGTTAGGCTTGAAGAACACCAGAAAGCTGTAACGAGAGGGGAAGTAGAAAAATCAGGCGTGGCTGACCACATATGGAGAGAGAAGGGAGATCACCGCCCTCTGTGGGATCAGGTTGAGATCATAGACAAAGGACACCATTGGAAAATTCGTAAACTTAAGGAATCAACACATATGCTAGGCCACAAAAATCTTCTGAGCCGACCAAGCATAGAAATGAATACAATATGGGAACCGGTAATAAGGAGTGCCAGAGAAAAGTGATAATAACAACAAAAATTGCAATATGAGCTCTGGTAAAAACATGAAATGATAACAGCAAAAATTGGTAAAAATTGGTTGCTGAAGACATTAGGTTTATAATACGCAGAAATTCATGTACAGTTGTCCTCAAGGACACATTGCACAGTGCATAAAGGCGTAAGTTAGATTCTGTGACAGGACCCAAAGAGTGTGAGTTCAATACCCGGTTAAGGCAGTGGAGAACTTTCAGAGGGGAATTAACAGGAGATAACTGATAACTGGCATCCATTAAACATGGCACGTGAAATTAGAACAGTCTACCCCAGTGAGCGAAATAAAGGGTTCAGTTCGACATTCCAACCACCTGAAGAAGGCCGGAGCGTAAAACGACCGAAACGTTGAAATAAATATGGCAACAAAGATGAGGATGATAGTCCGAGTAATGTAAATAATGTAAGTAAAAGCTCATAAAGAGCCTTGGAAAACTTATAGATCATTCTCTAAAAGACGCAACAGCAATCCAGGAAACAAAAAACAAACAAGAGATGTTGTTTAAAGAGAGTTGATAAGTCCGGCTTGCCTAGCAGCTTTAAAGCATGGATTTACCAGAATGTCATTTTCCCCCAAAATCCTATGGCCATTGTCCATCTATAAATTCACAACCTTTCACATGGAACAATTAGAAAAGAGAATTAATGTACGATTGCGGAGATGGTTAGGGTCTACCGAAAAGTAGTCTGATATATGGCGTAATGACACCGGCATAAAGTTCCTAATTCGGACTGTATATGACACCCCTACGCAGTCCCGTCAACCTCCATTTATGGTATAAAATAGAATTGGCCATATGCCCATTGTGCACGCGTCAAGGAACTTTAAAACATTTCTTAAGTAGCTGTCAAACAGCACTAACAGAAGGTCAGTAGAGACATGATCAAATTTTAAAGGATCTAGTAGAGATAGTTAGCATGGCCATCAGAATTAA